AATTATGTCCCCCAAAAATATGTGTATCAATTTGGCTAGGCCATAATTCCCAGTATTGTGTGGTTGTCCTCCATTTTGTGATTGTAATTTTATGTTAAAGAGGATTAGGGTGGGATTGTAACACCCTTACTAAAGTCACATTCCTGATCCAAGTAAAGGGAGTTTCCCTGGGGTGTGGCCTGCACCACATTTTATCTTACAAGAGAGAAAAGGAAAGGGAAGTGAGCAGAATGGGGGGACCTCAAACCACCAAGAAAGCAATGCCTGGAGCAGAGTGCATCCTTTGGATCCAGGGTTCCTGTGCAGAGAAACTCCTAGATTGATGAGAAGGACCTTCCTCCAGAGCCGACAGAGAGAGAAGGCCTTCCCCTGGAGCTGACGCCCTGAATTTGGACTTTTAGCTAACTAGACTGTGAGAAAATAAATTTCTCTTTGTTAAAGCCATCTACTTGTGGTACTTCTGTTAAAGCAGCACTAGATAACTAAGACAAAATGCTTCTTGTAAAGGTGTCACACGGGATCCCATCTTAAGAAATTAGGTGTGGCGTCAAGGTCGTTACTGAAATCCTTCGACTTTCTGGTGGTGGCAGTTGGGACTAAGAAAATATGGTCTGCTGTATGAAACAGTGTTTCCTTTTGTCTTAATTTTGCCTCACTGCATTTCAAGGGAGGGCACATCCTTTTTCAGAAAGTGAGGGGCCAAATTGGCCTGACCTTGGCCACACGGTTGATGGTTTTATAGGGTGTTCACCATGTCCTGTGTCATGGGTCACCAGGTGGTGCCACAAAGGGATTAAGAATTACAAAGACCTGGGTTTGTACCCAACTCTGCCACCTACTGAAGATCTTGGGCAACTTTCTTAGTCTCCATTTTCTTCCCTATCCAAAAAAAACCCAAAAAAACCCAAACCTGTTGCTGGCAAGTTGATTCCAACTCATAGTGACCCAATGGGATGTAGATAATAATATCTACTTCATAGATGTTTCTGAGGGTTAAACAAGAGAATCCATGGAAAAGTGCACTTATCTGCCCTACACTCATCTGTCCCCAGCATGAAGCTTCAAAATTTTATTTAAATTCATTTTTTGGTGTGGTTCATATTACAAAGATCTGTTTTGTGTAGTGTGGGTCAGCTAGTTAGATGACCAACAGAAAATTTCAGTGTTGTTCTCTTTTTTTTCTACATTTTAGCTTTACCCTAGGTGGATTTTGAAATCCAGTTTCCCATAGAAATGAGTGAGTGTCAATTCAAAATAGACTGTGTACCTTCCTCCACAATATTTCTGGTTTTTAAATCAAGAAAAGACAAGGGTAATATCTATAAAAAGATCCTATGATGTTTCCAGGAGATCTTAAAAAAAAATGTAAGCGAGGAAAACCAGCAAGTCAATTTAATGAGAAAAGAAAAAGGAACTGGTTATTTGGTTTTACAGAGAAAAAAGAAGTTGAAATCATTCTTTTTTTTAATTTTTTTTGTTGATGTCTCTGTTTAAAATTAGTTTTTCTGTTTTAGTTTTTACATCAATGGCCATATTTGCTCCCCAGCTCTTTACTGGGGCCTCTTGATCCACCAAAAACATTACCAGTTACCAGTTGCCATCGAGTCGGTTCCAATTCATGGTGACCCCATGTGTCAGAGTAGAACTGTATTCCATAGGGTTTTCAATGGCTGATTTTTTCAGAAGTAGATCGCCAGGCCCTTCTTCCAAGGCACCTCTGGGTAAACTCGAACCTTCAGCCTTTCTGTTAGCAGCAGAGCGTGTTAATTGTTTACACCACCCAGGGACTCCCCAAACAATGTAAGTTCAGTCAAAATGGTTGTTTGGAGCAGTGTAGCCACAGGAAAATTCTGTGACCACAGACTGGGCATACTAAAAGGAATAGAATAAAAGGAAAAGTGTCCCCTGCAGTTTTACTTAAATAAAAGCGCCTGAGTTTTGGAAAAGGGCTTCGTCCACTCTTTCCACACCCACCCCATGATAAGGCCAGTGAAAGATCTGGTCATGATGGGCCAAGATGAGCTCCGGCAGGGGGATCCTAAGATTCTTTGTTTTCTGTTGGGTGCAGATGAAATGGATTTCACTGGCATGCAGGCCTGACCTCACTACCGCTGGTCCCTAGGGAGAGCTGGGTCCAGCGCCCCACTCCCATGCCCACTCACCATTGTGAACGATCATCCTGTACTGCCTGCCCAGGCACAGCTCCTCTTGCCTCTGCCTCACGATTCTCTGCACTTCTGGGGGCAACCCATTGGGATCGCGGGCGAACACGAAGGAGTAGCTATCAGCACAGGTGCCGTCGAGGTTCAGGAGGCGGCAGGAGTACTGCACGGCATACGTGTCATAGTCTGTGTCGATGATCCAGTGGTCATCGTCTGCAAGCCAGAAAGCCACAGTGCTGAAGTCTCTCCAGTCAGAAGGCTCGGATGTCTGAGTAAACTTGCTACCAGGCATGAGAAACTTCCTGAAACTAGTTTCATTTCATTGGGAAACTGGAAGCTACAGAGAATTCTGACCGCTTTTGTAAAACTGAGAAAAGGAGAAAAGGATCTAGCTTTCCTTTATCAAAAAAGTCCTGGGATGGGGATGGGGAGGACCTCATTCACTTCAATGATCTCTCCCACCCTGGTGATAAATGCAATCACATCTTTCCAAAGAACAACAAGAATGTGGGCCCATCAAAACCACAGAACAGACCTTTCTCCTGTTGTCTTGGCCATCTACCCTCCAATATTATCTATGTCTTTTGTGGCTAATGTCTTATGACCACCAACTTATGATATCACTGACATCAGGATTTATCTTTTGCAGTGATCTGTATCAGCTAGCACCCAATTATCCCACTCATCACTCTGCCCCCCAGTCTCTCAGCCCACTGGAGGCCACCACTCGGATGCTCCTCCAAGTCCATCCGAATTCCTGCTCAGTAACTCTACTCACTTCTCCATGCTGGAAAAAGTGAGTAGTTTTTGCTTTTTGTGCAAAAAGATGCCTATTATCTGACATCAGATATTCCTTCCTAGAGCTTGTACTCTTCACTCTCTCCTGAGCCCGAGAAGAATTTAGATTCTATTTATTCCTCAAGGCTAGGCTGTAAACCATGAGGAATAAGTATAAATGAAGGTGGTAAAAATAACAAAGGCAAAATAACATCAATAAAAATATATGTGAGAGATTTATCATAGAGAAACAACAATGCTATGGTTTATCCAAATACCCTACTTCAGGTAAAAATGCCACATTTCTATTTAATATAACATTCCTGTTGACATATATAACTATGGCTAGGACTCTGTGAGCACTTAATTATGTGCCTGTCACTGTGTAGACACTTGCCATATTTTCTCATTTATTCTTCACATCAAATGTGCACACTACTGTCCACTACTTTACAGATGAGCAAACGGAGGCACGAAAGGGCAAGGTGAAAAACTGACGGTCCGATGTCCAGTCAGTAAAACGCACATACACAAAAAAAGTAATGAAAGGAGCTGTTAAGGAACAGTAAAAACGTGAAATAACTCAGAAAAGGATGTCGAGAAAGGTGGCACAGCTCAAAGAATGGAACCAACATCACTGAATTATACGTGGAGAAATCGCTGAATTGATGGACGTTTTGTTGGTGGTAACCTCACCAAAAATAAAACAAAGTTTAAAAAATGAACATTAAAAATGTATACAGTGGGAAAAAAAGAAAACGAAGGCACAGGGAAACTCAATAACTCACCTAGGATCACAAAGAGCAGGGTAGAACTGGGATTCAAATGCGGGGTGTCTGACTCCAGAGCCCACAGGCTTAACATCTATACCACACTGTCTCCAGGCAATAAGTAAGTTGGAGCAGGAAGGGCAAGAAACAAGAAACAAAAAGCAATTGTGTCTCATCTCATGCCTATGTCATGCAAGCAAGTGACACTGTCTGCCCTACATAGTGCTCCAGGTTGGCGGAGGCAGAGGTGCCTGGGTCCCCAACATGGGGGGTATAAAAGGAGATCTCTAATGCTTGCTTTGAGTCGCCTCTGGTGTGCTTCCCTGAGGAGCCGGAGGAGAGGGCTCAGCCCAATCCCAGGTCATGCAGCAGGGGTTGTCAGAGTAGAACCAAGCGGGGCCTCCGTGGGAGGAGGTGGTGGAGCCCCCTCTTCAGCTCACTCCAGGCCTGGCAGGAGGAAGAATGAGCCACCCCTGTGCCCCCAGGCTTTCCCAGGGTGAGACGGTTGCGGGGTGAGGGGCAGACTTATGACTGCTCAGCGGTGACCACAGTTATTCAGCAGACTGGCCAGGAATAGAAGCCATGGACCGCCTGCTGGGCCTGGGCCTGGCCCTAACTGCCAGCTCCCTCACAGGCTCCTGAGCATCTGGGCAGAGTCCCCCTCATCCCAGAATGAAGTCATTTCTTCCCTGGTTTTGGGGATCACTGTGCCAGGCACAGGCGCCCCAGGAGCCTACCCCTCAGACACAAAAACCTCTCCTTTGAAATATTATTCCAATTCATGATTCAGGCAGTTATAAGCTTGGCAAATCTGCAATTTAATACTTTTTCCCCCAAATTGTTGCCAGAATGTAAATTCTGACATAGGAAATAAGTAACTTTCAATGCTTGGCTTTAGTAAAATTGACTACTGTTCTTGACTTTAAAAGAAGGCCCGAGTTGGTTTGGTTTATCTCCAGGCTCTTTTTGGCTAAGTAGTTCAAAGATGAAGACTTTGAGTTGTAACAACCTTTATCAGACCCTCTTCCTTCTAAGAGTATTTGCAACAAATGAACTGCCTGAGCAATGCTAGGAAGAATGAGCTAGGTTCTCCAACCTCCTTCACCCTAGCAGCTGGGCAGTGTCCCTCTGCAGAACCAGACACCCCCAAACATTCCCCGACAGCAGCTAACTGCAGGAAGTAGAGCTAGGGAGACAGCACGCTCAAGGCTAGGCCATATGGCTGGGTGCCCTGACTCACCTCCACCATCCCAGGAAGTGGAGCACACTGTAGATGTGTCTACACTGCACCCACACAGACTGGCTTAGGGGTTTTGATCGACAGTCCAAAGACTAAAGAAAACACATGGGTAGAGGGAGCTGGCTCTGGTGACCTCGTTCAACTGAATATCTGCGGCTCACTGCTGTGGGCTTGGAATGTGCCACTTCAGCTCCTAGACCTGTGTCCCACCGTTGTCTAAATGAGGAGACCAGGCGAAAAGGAGACCAGGTGAGAAGCTCGCTGTAGTTCTCATGCCTAACGGTCCACCTGAGCCAGCCACACAGTGGACTTGAGTCTATTTCTAACTAATCTCTAAAATAATCCAACAGGGCCTGGTAAAGTGAGTGGAGTCCAAGGCATTGAAACAAAAGTAAGCAAAAAAAAAAAAAAAAAAAATGTCTTTGGGCTGAATTACATATATAGACCAGTGATTCTCAAACTTCATTGTGCAGAAGACTCATCCAAGGAACATACTAAAATGCAGATTCCAGGGCCCCAGTCACCAGGAGTTTCTGATTCAATGAGTCTGTGTTTGGGCCCAGAAATCTGCATTCTTAAAAAGCTCTTCAGGGGGCCCAAATGTAGGTGATCCAGGGGCCCTGACTTTGAGAAATACTGATTTATACAATCAGGCCAAGTTGTTATTCAACCTGACAGGAACCATTTCCCAGGAGAGTGACAGACTGTAACTAAGAGATGGACAAAAGGAATGTCTTTGTCCCTGTCCTTCTGGGAGGGCCCCAAACAATGATGAACATAGCTAATATTTACTGAGTGCTCATTATGCATCAGGCTAAGCATTTGACATGCATTACCTTAATTAAGTCCTTCCAACAATCTGATGAAATAGAGACTATTCTTTATCTCCATTTCACAGCTAAGGAAATTGAAGCTCAGAGAGGCTGGCCAATGGTGAAGCTTGTATTCAACCATAATCATCTGATGGCAGAGTCCTTAACCCCTGAGATGTCCTGCTTGCTGCCGGCTGAGTTAGGGGAGAAGGGGGCTGGTACACAGCCTGCCCAGACTAGGGCAGCAAGCCACATCAGAGTCTGTTAACACTGAAATTTAACAGTCAACTATAGAGATTTCTTACAGTTAATTTTTTAATTTAAAAATAAATGTAGGAGGGCAGAGCAAGCTGGCAAAGCGAGTGGACGCTCCCATTTACTCCACCAGCAACTAACCCACTGAACAATGAATAGAAACAAGCCCAGACTGAGATCTCAGAACTCTGGACGGCAGCTGAGGTGCTGGAGTGTTGATGTGAGTTCAGAAGCGGGAGAGAGGAGGAGAGGATGGCACAGAAGCTGGGAGAACCTACCCACTAACATCTGGAGCACTCACTCACTGCGGTCACTTTGGGATGGGGCTGGGCAATGCCGCAAACAAGAAACACACAAAGGGAGCTAATCTGAGGAAGTTGTAGCCTGATTTTTTAGAGCAGCGCAGATTGGCCATGGGAGTTTTTAGGCCACACAATTAAGACTGTGGTGCTGAGAGAGAGTGTTGTTGAATCTCACTGAGACCCAAGACAGACGGGTACTAGGACCAGGAAGAACTGCAAGGGAAGCAGGGTGAGGGGAATACTTTGGAAAGATGGGCAACACAGAGATGAATGGCTAGCTCCCTGCCCACAGAGGGACACCATGGGAAAGCCTGTGCAGGAAGGGGTACCCATGAGGGAAAGACAAGAGAACCCCTACCTTTGCCACAGGAAAGTCACACCCTACCACTTACATTAGCGTCTGTGACCAGCTAAACCACACCCAACCCACGCATGCATACTGAATTCCAGAGATCAAGCATCCAGAACTCCTGAATCAACACTGAAAAAAAACCTAAGGTTAAGAGTGCTCTCTAGTAGTTCTCAGGAGAAGATACCAAGTCCACTGCTGCTGGGTCAATTCTGTCTAACAGTGACCCTGTGGGGCAGAGTGAAGATGCCTGTGGGGTTCCTAAGGCTGTGAGTCTTTGTGGAGGTGGGCTGCTGTGTCTTTCTCCCACAAAGCAGCTGGTGGGTGCAGCCCCAGCCATTCAGTTGGCAATCAGGCACTTGGCCACTGCACCACCAGGGCGCCCAATCAGAAAATTTTCCCATAAAAACCAGAATACAAAATTTTAAGGAAAAAAAGCCCCAAGGTCAATAAAAAATAGTAAAACACACAAAATCACAAGAAAAGAAGGACCAATCGAAAAGAAAACATGAAGAAGTGGACACGTCTCCTATGGAGGCCAGACTAACGGGAAGAATTGATAATTTTCAGGCTATGGTGCTAAATATGTAAAAAAAAAAAGCAAAAAGTACACAGAAAACAAACTAACAGAGATCAGAAAATAAATGGAGGAACCAAATGAGAGATGAGAAGCTCAACAAGGAAATTGAAAACATCAAAAGAAAGAAA